CTTTCCCATCTCATCTCTGGCAGGAGTCACCCACGCAAGGCACCCAGGGCCCTCCACCAGCAAGCCTGCCAAGGCTTGTCCCCCCGCTTTGGAACAGCTTCAAGAAAGGTCACGTTTGCTATTCTCAAGCCGCCCACCCGCCCTGCCATCCCTGAGGCATGCTTTCTCCCACATCCCCAAATGCCAGGCGGTGAGCTCAGGGCACCAGCCTCCAGGAAGCTGAGAAGGGGGCGACTCTTGCTGGCACCCTCAGCACAGAGCTGTTCGCACACGACAGTGAGCACAAGGGCATTCCCTCCTCCGCCGTTCAAAGGAAATTTATGAGAAATATGGCAAAAAGAGAAGGCTGCTCAAAAGGGTCCCACGCCGACCTGACTTTGTGTCCAGAAGCCCTATTTGGCATGAAGAGCTTCTGCAGAGACCCATTTAACCTGCCAGGGGCTTCCGAACACCTGAGCAGGTCTGTTTGAGCATGAGCTCTACACACGCACATGTGTCAGTGTCACACTGAGAGCAAACACCCACGCTCATCTCCAACTCCTGGGTCGCACATGAGGACAAAGCACAATTCCAAGCTCAGGGCTCAGCCTCCACGTCAGATTATGGTGTGAAAGGCCAAGTGTTCCTGTGCTGAGAGCACCCGGATGTCTGAGGCAAAAGGGCACTCACAGGAGGGACTAAAGGCCTCCGGGAAGGTGGCTCAGCGACAGGGACAGCAGTTTCTCCTCTCCAGAAAGCCTCCAGCCATCTCTATCCTGCTGAATGACCCACTTCTCCAAGGCCAACTCCCTCCTAGCCTCCACTGCCCCAAGGGTTTCCACCAAAGGCCCCCTGAGCTGTGATTACAGAGGCCCTAGCACACACCTGTAGGGGTACTTAGGGGACCAGGGCAGCAGATGGACTGCATGACTGACTGCCGCTGAACAGCTACAGGTGACAGCCTAATGGATGTTTTTAAAAGATGTTTTTACTTTTGTAGGTATATACTTATTTTAATAGAAAAAAATGCATGACTAGCACCTGTGATTTCATAGATGTAACTGCTTACAACACGCATGTCTAAGTTTAAAAAATTGATTTCAACCTCATTATCTTGTATTTAACTTTTATTTTTTTGGAGACAGGGTCTCACTGTGTTGCCCAGGCTGGCTTCAAACTCCTGAGCTCAAGTGACTTCTGGTCTCAGTTTCCAGAGAGGCACACACCACAGTGCCTGGCCAACTGTTTTTTCTCTCAGGACTGGGGACCCAACCCTGGGCCTCAGGCTTGCTAGGCAAGCGCACCACCACTAAGCTACATCCTCAGCCCCTGTTTTAAAATTTTATTTTGAGACAAAGTTTTGCTAAGTTGTCCAGGCTGGTCTCAAATTTGCAATCTATGGCCTCACCTTCCCAAGTAGCTGCGGTTACAGGCAGACCCCATGATTTTCTTTTTATACTTACATGACCGTCCTCAAACACTTGTCCTCCCTGGCCACAAACCATAAAAGGCACCAATGTTGTTCAAAACTAATTTTGAAGCCCTTCTTGGCTTTTCTTCCTCTGCCATGCCCCCAACATCAGTAAAACACACCAGCTTTTCTGCCAAAATACTGCTGGACTCTGACATTTCCAACCACTCCTGCTACCAGCTGGCCAAGCCACTGTCCTATCACACCTAGGTTATTCTAGTAGCCACTTGGCAGGTACCAGGTATCCATTCTTGCCACTAAAAAGAGGGTTTTTCTCTGATCATAAATCACACCACATTAGGCCCCTACCACCCAGAAGCTTCATATCATGCTTAGGATGGAATCCAAAGGCTACTCCAGCACCCACAGACCTGAAAGGGCCCAGCTTCCCTGGATGGTACTGACCCAACGTGATCCTTTCCAGCCACACTGGCCTTCTTGGGAGTCCTGAAAAGGGCAGGCCTTTGTACCTCCAACTCCCTTCCCATGTCCCCCACTTCATCTCATCAAAAACTGACATGTCATCCCCTGCCAAAAATGGCCCTCCACCCTTGTGTGTGCCTCACAACACACCTGCGGTTGGATCAGAGACACTGTGCCGTCACGATCATCTGTGTGGGCTCAGGGCTCACTGCCTGTCTCCACACATAAGCTTCACCACAGCAATGTTCCTGTACCTGCAGGCAACTACCACATGGTGAGTGCTCAGTGACACTGGAGGGGACAAACGAAGACATTCAAAAGCAGGATTAAAGCTGGAAGTTCATGGCTAGAGTGTGACCATGCCAGGCTAGGGGAATAATGTGAGTTCATTTAACACCAGCAATATTCCCAGGAACCTTCTTGGTTTGGAGAAACTGAGGCTCAGGGATAAGTGACTTGCCCAAGCCCATGTGGGATTTCCACTCTGTTTTATCAGGCTGAAAGGGCTGGGTTTTTTTTTGGGGGGAGGTTGTTTTTTTTGGTTTTTTGGTACCAGGGATTGAACCCAGGGGCGTTCAACCACCAAATCCCAGCCCTTTTTTATATTTTATTTAGAGACAGGGTCTCACTGAATTGCTTAAGGCCTCACCAAGTTGCTGAGGCTGGCTTTGAACTTGAGATTCTCCTGCCTCAGCCTCTCAAGTTGCTGGGATTACAGGGGTGCACCACTGTGCATGGCTGAGGGCTGGATTCTTTAGAACATATCAAGCTTTCTCTGAAAGTCTTTCTTCAAAAAGATGTGTTAAGGTATCAATCCACCTAGGGAGGAGGTGAAACTCTTCAGGATGATGTTCCGCTCTGCCAACATCAGGGTACAGCCTGGCAAGCTCCAAATCAGCAAACCCCCACCCTTGCCTGCAATCCCACTGCCCCAGTCACTTGAGACGGCTGCACTGCTCAACACAGACTGTGGTACCCATTCTAGCCTGGGAAAGGCTTTCCAGACACCTGATGCATACATATTTAAACACATGTCCCCCTGGAATGTCCCTCCTTTCCCCTGCCTGGCAAGCTCCAATGTCCTTTAAAGCCTCTGCAGTTCTCTGCTATCTGCCCAGGGCTCCTAGCTGACCCAGGTCTACATTCTCAAGAGTGCCTTACCCACCGTGCCAGTGGTATAGGCTCCTTCACAAAGTTGAACTGCAAACACAGTACGAATGGACACCAGGCCTCACTCATCTTCACACCTGCAGGGCCAGCAGCCACAGAGCAGGTGGCTAAGCACAGGTGTCTGAGATGCTCTCAGCAGACTTGGGTCAGAGGCCAGGTCAGCAAGGCCTACACTATGGACTAGACCCTCACACCCCCTGTAAGTAGGAACGTCCTGGTTATTATGAGGCCAGGAGGGACCTTGTATAGACAACCCTGCCAGCCAGCCCCTTGCCTTACATCAAGATGCTATGTTTTTAACGCAATTCTTATTTATTTATTTATTTGGATCAGAGGTTAAACCCAGGGGTGTTTCAACACTGAACCATATCCCCAACCCTTTTTAAAAATTATCTTGAAACAATGTCTCACAAAGTTGCTGAGGCTGGCTTTGAACTTGTGATCCCCCTGCCTCAGCCTCCTGAGCCGCTGGGATTACAGGCATGTGCCACCATGCCCCACGGCACAATTCTTTCTTTAAAAAAGCCCACCACCATCCAGAGAAGCACATTCTAGAGCTCATAAAGCTGAACTTCTATCTAGCTCAGGTCCCTTGGGCCCAATTACACCTAGGAGGGAGGGAAGCTGGCAGCCACCCTGCTCTGCATGATCCAGGTGACCGTTTGCTCCTCAGCAAAACAGCTCAGTCTGCCCTATTTACCACTTCTTCCCAGTCCTTCTTTCTTAAGGGTGCAATCAAGCTAGTGTTTCCTGGATGCTTTCTACAATGAGGACATTTATACAGGGGCCCTGCCCTCCAGGAGTTTACAGAGCAGAGGGCCAGAACTCTCTGCTTCCAGGCTACACAAAGTCCACATTAGCATGCAGCAGTGATGGCCACCCCTCACGCACCAGCTCCAAGGCTTCAAGACCCTCCCAGACTCCACCAGTGGAACTCCACATCATGTACAACCACAAGAATGGGACGTTATACCCCAGTGTGTATATGTCCAAATACATTCTACTGTCATGTATAATTAAAAAGAGCAATGACAAAAACTGTCACAAGCAGGAGGGCCACAGTCTGCTCATTTCTGTAAGGGAAAGGTTTAACACTGGGCCTGGCTTTACTCATATTTCACGGATATTGATTGAGCATCCAGCGTACAGGGGTGGTAGGAGGAGACACAATGGTAAGCAAGAGATCACAGCCTCTGTCTTAGAGGAGTCCACTTTCTAGTTCAGGGGACAGAAAAGTCCACAGGCAATTCCCACAGAGCTCCATAACAGGGGAGGACTCAGGGGACAGGCACCCTGCCCTGGAAGGTCAAGAGTAGGCCACAGTGCCAACTGCGTGTGCACCTGCCTGTCAGGAAATGCAGGGGCTAGAAAGCCCTGAGGGCGACTGGGGGAGTGGGAGCATCCCGGGCTCCACTCTCACGGAGGCCAAAGGCACAGTGAGTTACAGGGGGACCAAAACCCGGGTCCCCACTGCTTGTCATGGCTTCAGTACAGCCCCGAGATTACGGGGCTTTAACTTAAGGGGAGAAAAACTGCCGGATTTTGATCCTGTCTCTGCCACTTACCAGCTGCGTGGCCGGGGGCCGATGACGGCCACTCTGTGCCTCAGTTTCCTCATCTGTAAACAGGAATCACTATGGTACCTATCTCCTGAGGCTGTCATGAAAATCAAACTCACAGACGTAAGGCCATTGGCACATCACGTCTCACGCAAGCGGAGGCGGCTATTGCTATTACTGCACGCACGCTCGGTCCCGCTGCGGGCTCGCCACTACGCCGGCTCCGCGGCGCCCCAGACCCCTTCCCGCCCGCGGACGCTCCCGCCGGGCGAGACCCCGGCGGCCTGGCCCGCGGCGCGCATGCGCAGGCCTCGCTGGGCCGCGGGTCTCGCGCGCGCTGCACGCGCCGTCGGCCTCGAGAGGGAGGCTAGGGCGGCGGTCACACTCCGCCACCGACAGGAGCGGCGCCTGCACCCGACAGCCCGCCCCCACCCCCGGGCTCCCAACCCCCAGACTTGGAGCGGGTCGGATCCTCACACTCTGCAGCAGACTCCTCCTCTGCGCCGCCATCTTGGAAGGACCCCCGCGGCGCGCCCTCCTCTGGGCGGAGCAACGAGTAGGGTGGCTAGAGCGGCTTAAGGAGCCGCGGAGGATTGCGCCGCCGGGGCGCGTGAGCACAGCGCCGCCCAGGACGGGAGGCGGGATGGGGCGCGCGGACCATGTGCGCAGGCGCTTCCCCCGGGACGGAATTTGCGGAGTATTTATTTAACACTCTATACGAGATTGTTCCTAGCCCGTCTCTCTTTTTTCTTCTTTTGGTTCCTGGAATTGAACCCAAGGCACTTAACCACTGAGCCACATCCCCACCCCTCTTTTTTTCTATTTTATTTAGAGACAAGGACTTGCTTGAGTTTTTTAGGGCCTCTCTAAGTTGCTGAGGCTGGCTTTGAACTCGCGATCCTCCTGCCTCGGCCTCCCAAGCCGCGGGGATTGCAGGCGTGCGCCACCGCGCGGCTCCTCACCGGCCGTTAAGTGCTGACTTTCTCCAGGATGCCTTTCCGAGGGGATTCCTAAGGCTCTGGCTTAGGGCTCTGAATCAGGGGGACAGGGGAGTGAATTATTCACTCAGTGAACTCAGGCTCTTGGACTGTGCCTGGCCCTATAGTGAATTTCACAACCAGCAGAACAGGCCTTCCGGAAGCTAACGTTTTAATTTGCAAGGACAGAATTTACATACCAAAAACATTGCAAAGGTTTTGAATGATTGAAAGAAGTTCAAGTGTAGAGGCACTGGAGTGTGGTATTGCTGGCGACAGGGACACAGGCCAGGTGCAGGGAACTGGTGCAGAGGAACCAGGGAAAAGAGTGAGTTCAGGAAGCATGCAGGTCACAGAGGGCCACCAAGGCCAGGCAGAGGCAAGCTGTCGAACCCTGAGGAAGCCATTACCGTCCCCTTGGTAGAAAGAGTCCTTTGATATGTTCAGGGGGATTGGAATGGGGACAGGAAGACCAATTAAGGGACTCTTCTAGGTTAACAGTTGTGTCGGCTGATGGCAGTGGGTGAATTTTATTTAGGAAATGATTTGGTCCTGGATTGGTTGTGGTGGTTGCTGAGGTTTGAATGTGTCCTCCCAAAATTCATATATTGGAAACTTAAACCCCAAATTCATGTGTTAATGGTAATTGGAGGTGAGGCCTTAGGGACTTAATTAGGATTACGTCGGGGGTAGATCGTAGGGGGTGCCTCACGATGTCATTAATGGCTTTTTGAGAGGAAGAGAGACTCCATTCCCACACTTGCCTGCAGCGCCCTCCACGGAGTTGTGATGCAGTGCGGGGCCCTTGCCAGCTGCTGCTCCAGGCTCTGGGACTTCCCAGCCTCCGGAACTATGATCCAAATAAACTTCTATTCTTTATAAATTTTCCAGTCTCAGGTATTTTGTTACAGCAACAGAAAATGGACTTAGATAGTGGTGACAGGAAGAGAGGTGTCAAAGATTCTCGCCGATTTCAGGTAAGAACAGGTGGGCTTGTGGGGAGAGTGAAGGGAATGGCTGTGAGTTCTTTTTGAACATGTGGAGTTTGAGGTGTTTTTGAGACAAGAAGAGAATTCAAGTCAGTAGTTAGAGGGTGCTATACAGCAGGAAACCCCAATTCAGTGAGTCACCCCATAGATAGCTGTAAGGTCAGGCAGCGCCACCAAACGAGGCTTTATTGAGATTTCACTCCCAGGAGAGTCTCTCCAGACCAACGGGGCAGAGAGACCACGCAGGGTTCCACGGGATTGGAATTTTTATTGGGCTTAGGACAGGAAGGGAGGGCTTGGGACAGGAAAAGGGGGTTTTTTAGAGTTCCTTGTCCTACTGGGGTTGGTCGGGGGAGCTGGCTATGATCCAGGATTGGCCAGGAGACCCCGCTGGTTGACGCGCGGTTCTGTTGGGCCTGATTGGTGGTTCTTGCGCTCACAGGTTGCTTGGTGCTTGGTCCGTCAACTGGCCTAACAATAGGTGTCAGAGTTTGAACCCAGGACTCGGGCTCCGGATCTTTCCTGGAGTCCTGTGAGGTGAGCGGACTCTCCAGTCTCCTCCCTGCTCAGCCTCCAGGTAACTACTGTAATTTCCTAAAGAGCCACTTAGTTTCCTGTCGCCACCTGTGGACAGCGTGTTGGCCCTGCCCCGAGTGCCCTTCCCCCACACCCAGAGACGACCCGCTGAGCTTCTGCTCTTATGAAATTCCTCCTTAGAAAGTTTTCTTGATTCCCACCCCAGTATGAGCCCCTCTGTCACTTTTTTTTCCTTTTTTTTTTTTTTGGTTCTGGGGATTGAACCCAGGGCCCTGTGCATACCAGGCCAGCACTCCACCAACTGAGCTATATCCCCAGCCCAACCCCTCCTCACTTTTAATCATTTAGTCACTTTGAGTCATTTAAAGGCGAGTGTAAATGTTCACAGTGAACTTCCCGAGGGCAGGAGCTCCGGAGACTAGGCCCTGGGTTTCTCCACAGCCACCAGGGAAGCTGCTTGGCAAATGTTTGCAGCACCGAATTGATTAAAGAACCAAAAAGTGGGGTGCGATGGCACACACCCGTAACCAGTGGCTCTGGAGGCTGAGGCAGGAGGATCATGAGTTCAAAACCAGCGTCAGCAATTTAGCAAGGCCCTATCCGGAGGGGGCAAATTGCGACGTATGCAGTCGAGGGGAGAAATAAAAAATGTCCACTTGCTTCTGCCCCTTTCAATGCTTTATTCACTCAAATTACTCGATACAATTTCACTCTATAGGTTCTTAATCAAGAAAACAGCAATCCTAATGCTGGGCACTGCAATAGACATGATCAATTGACAGCAAACAATTCTAGATTAGTTCTAGGCACTGCAGACACACTTAATCATGACAGGCTCATGACAGACATTCCCTCTCGTGCTGAGTTCAGAAGTCTCAAGCCTTAGGCTTTACGTCCAGCAGGTGCCCACTCACTCCGACCGCAGTGACCAGGTCTGGAACAAGGCAGGCTTTCCCTGGCGTGGAGTGGACGGCCGGCTGAGGAGAGGGTCGCGGGGAGAAGTTGCGGCTCTCACCAGGGTAGAGTTTGGAGCTGTGAGGATCACACAGAGGATCGGGAAGGATGACAAGTGATGGGATGTCAGGTCCTCAGCAGGCTCTCCAGCTCCAGTGCACCCTTGTTTCCGCTGGCTGAATCCCTGCTCATCAGCACTATTATTTATACAGAATTTGGGGGCTTTTGGCCCCCCTTTCAGTCCTTATCAGCTACCACCGGATTTCTCAGTGACATCATTCTCTCTGGGGTCAGAGACATCTGATCTGGTGGTTCCCACCCTGATCTTCTGGCCTTTCCCTCTTACCAGGCGCGGACAGCCTGCCAGGGGCTTCACTCTGTTTATCAGGCTGAGGGGAAGTGACTTGTCTGAGGCCACGCTGGAGGGCTCCGTGGGTGTGCCTGGGGAGACTGCAGGTTAAACTGGAGTTTTTAAGATGGAGTTGCTTAGGCTCAGTCCTCAGGCCATCCTCACAGGCCTAAGCAACTCTGCATGACCCTGTCTCTAAATAAAATAGAAAAAGAGCTGGGGATGTTGCTCAGTGATTAACTGCCCTGGGTTCAATCCCTGGTCCATGTCCCCCCAATAAAATAATAAAGAAGAGGACTCTGAGCCCAGCACGGCCCTTGGAGAATATACATTAAGTCAGCACCTTCTGTTTGCAGGGACTGAGCTCTGAAGGACTGCAGGAAGGATACAAGGACGTCTGCTGTGGACGGGCCTCCTTCCCCTCTGGGGACAGCGTACCTGGAAGCCAAACTAAATGGATCCTCTTCTCCCAGGAGAACTGTGCTCTGCGTGTTGGAGTCTGCAGTCAGTTAAGACTGTCTCCTGCTGGAGGGACTGAGGCACCGCAGCCACTGGCTTTGGTAACCATTTAGACAGCCAGAGTGAGCTCTGGGCCACATCAGGCTGTCCCCGTGGGCAGGCTGGCTGGGGTGGACCAGGGTCCCCATGCGCCGTGGACCGCACACCTGCCTGGAGCCCTGGTGATGACTACACTGTGACCTTCCAGACCCAGACACCATCAGCTTTGGGTGCAACAGCCACCTTCTGGGAACCGAGAAGGGAAGGTTCCAGACCTCCTCTTAAGTCACAAGGAGGGCCCGTCACCCCCAGCAGCGCCACCCAGCCAGCAGATGCCAGTCTCCCCTTCGCCCTCACATACGGTGTTGCAGCCACCTGGTTTGCAGACAGTTCCTTGAAAAGATGACACACATGGGAGAAGGTCGTGAAGGGACAATAAGATTCTCCCCTCGCCCACCTCCGCCCCCTTCCTTCCCCTTGCTCTGACGCAGATCCCAGACAGATGCTTTGATGGGAGGGCGAGGAGCAGCAGCCGAGCCCTTGGCCTTCTTATTCCTTCTCTATTGCGAGCATTGTGTCCTGCGGCCCAGCGACCTTGGCATCTTAATGGCTGCATCAATTGGAGATGGTCGGTCAGAAAACTTCTCTGCAGTTGCTGTGCACTGAGGACTCACTCGTGCATTTAAGAGCTATTTATTGAACTTCTTAGAGGCACAGGGAAATGCCGCGGGAAGGGGAGGATTTGTTTTTATAACACGTCAGCAAAGGAAAAAAGGAGACGTGGAACCCGTGGGGTGAAATCTAGATCTCTGTGGGATCTGGGGTGCGGGGTGTCTCTTAATAAAAAATTCAAAATTCAGAATACGCTCCACTGTCATGTCTATCTAAAAAGAACAGATAAAAAATTAAGAATAGAGGATGGGGTAGGAGACCCAGCCGGGGGCCACCTCCTCTGACTCCGGAAATCAGGGGCGGCTTCTTGGACAAGGTGACATCTGAGCCTGCAGAGTGCCTAGGCGGAGAGGGACTGGCCCGGGCAGGGAGCTGGTGGAGACGGCACGGCCGCAGGGACACTGGATTCAGAGGCCCGGCTGGCTTGAGTGTGGTGAGTCCACAGGGAGCCACGGCCAGCTCGGCAGGGCCGGAGCAGCCTCACTCCGAACCATGGTAGAGTCCGGCATCCCCCCGCGGGCAGTGCAGCAGGGGACGCAGGACCTGAGGACAATCCCTCTAGCTGCGGGGCAGGACCGGTTGTGGGGCTGTGGGTGAGAGACTGTCGCACCTCTGGGGCACCCCTTTCAGACATTGTCCCCAGGTCTTGTCCCTGGGTGTCTCTGTGCACCCTGATTTTCAGACCAAAAGCAGGGGCTCGGTTCTACTCCTCTCTGCCACCCCGCGTCTCGCACACAGCAGTCACCAAATAAATGCTTGGTGAATAAGCATGTACTGAGCGCTCACCAAGCGGCACATTCATTACTTCCTGTGCCAGGGCTTACGGGTGTGTGACTGTCATCCCTGCTCTCCGGGTCCTCCAGCAGTGAGCGCCAAGATCAGGTATTCTGGGGAGACCCCTGTGGAGGAGGGAGGGGAGCCAGAGAAGAAGGGAGTTCCCCAGACGGAGGCAGGTCAGCGTCCCGCACAGGGGACCGGGGTTAGGGGAGATGAAGGGGGTTTGGTAGGAGGGGCTCAGACCTTCGTATAGCCTAAAGAAGTGCTGACCAAACCAGTCGGGGTCCCCAATCTCTCAGGAGCCCCCTTGTGCTCAGTCGCTGGCTGGGAGCAGCCTGCTCCTGTAGGAATATGAGGGGAGATCTAGAGGGCAGCAGCTAGAACTGCTGGCTAACAATGTGCACAATCGCCATTTATAGCTCTGCGAATTGAGGCCCAGAGAGGTAAGGCCACTTGTCCAAAGTCACACAGCTGGGAAGGAGCGAAGCCCCTTTGTTTTCGAGGCTGTGTTTGTGACTCCAACTTGACAACAGCATTGTTACGGTGGAATTATGTCCCCAATTATGGGATTAGGTCAATGCAGATGTAATGAGTTAAGATGAGGTCACACTGGAGTAGGCTGGGCCACTGACCAATGTAACTGGTGCCCTTACGAAGAGGGAGAATTTGGACCCAGAAACAAATGCCTACAAGGAGAACACCAGGTGGACACTAAAGCAGAGCCTGGGCTGCAGTACCTACAAACCAAGGGATGCCGAGGGCCACCAGAGCCAGGAGAGACCTGGGAGAGCGTCTCCCTTCCGGCTTGGAAGGAATGGACCCTCGGACACTTTGACCTCAGACTTCCAGTTACAGTCCAAACCCAAGCCAATACCTTCCTCTTCTTGGGTCCCCAGTAGGTGATATTTGTCACAGCAGCCATAGGCAGTTCATACAGTGTGACATCCTTAGGAGCAGTCACATGCAAAGAAGTCTGAGGTCTCTGGCTGAGAAGCAGCTCTGGGCTGCAGGAGGAGCCGGGCAGGCCTTGGCTGTGGATCCAGGTGGGCACAGGTGCACATGGAGTCCAGGGCTGCAGGAGCGTTTCCAAAGGTGTCCGAGCGGCATCGGTGACAGGATCACAGCCAGGAGACTGAGGCCCAGGGGATGGGAGTGACCAGCTTGAGGGTGGCATGGCCATCAGTGAACCCCAGATGGGCCCATGTCCCGTCTCCCCGGCCAGCCCCCTGGAGAGGGCCGAACTGCGGCCAGCTGCACCCCTGGCCGACCTGGGCAAACGCACAGGCAATCCCTGGCCCTCCGGAGGCTTGTGGCCGGCCAGCCTGGGACGAGGGCTGCTGAGGCCCCTCTCCTGCACTTACCCTCGGCTCTGTCCACCGAGGCCCTGGCTTCTGAGCCGTCCTTTCCGAGGCCCCCGGGAGGCTGCCAGTGCCCATCTGCCAGGCAGGCTGCTCTTCCGTCTGGAGGCTCCTGGAAACAGCCGCCTCGGACCCCTCCCACAGCCACCCGCCCACTCCAACCACCTGCCCACCGGCCCCAAAGGAAGGGGAGTTTGCTGGAAGATGGCCAAGGGTGGACCCAAAGGTCTTTCCGGAGCATCCAGAGGACTGTGGGCAAGGAGAGCCAGGGTTTGCCTCCCAGCCCCTGGCACCCACTTCACCATCTCTACAGCAGACGGGCACCCAGCAGGTGTCAGGCCACAGCAGGGAGGCCGCGGGCGGAGCGTGGACTGAGGCACTGCTCTCGGGAGACCTGGTTTGGGGCTCAAGTCAACCACTACTCACTTTGTGACCTCAGATAGGTTGCTTCACCTCTCTGGGCATCCTTTGCCTCAACAGTTAAATGGAGGTAATTTGGGGCTGGGATGTGGCTCAAGCGGTAGCGCGCTTACCTGGCATGCGTGCGGCCCGGGTTCGATCCTCAGCACCACATACAAAGATGTTGTGTCCGCTGATAACTAAAAAATAAATATTAAAATTAAAAAAAAAATGGAGGTAATTTTACCCCCTCTGCAAGATGCCTGGGAGATAGAGCAGGCATGGGGCAGGGGCCAGCGCAGCCGGCACTAAGCAAAGAGTCCACCAATGGCTCTGTTGTTGCTATGGAAGGTGCTGGGGGTTGAGCGGTAAGGTGGTGCCCCTGTCCTTGAGGAGCAAACAGGTGAAGACAAGTGTGACTCAGCCATTACTGACCCACACCACGAGTCACAGAAGAGGGCCCTACAGGCTGGTGGTGGGAAGAGGACAGAGAAAACCCCAGAAGGCTTCCTGGTGGAGGGGGCAGCCCCAGGCAGCTCAGCTAACTTCTCAGAATCTGGTCAATTGTTCCTCCCTTCCTTTCCTCCCTCCCTGCCTTTCTTCCTTTTGCATTTCTGGGGATTGACTGGGGCCTTGCTACCCAAGTTCTCTACCACATCCCCAGCCCCTTTTATTTTTATTTTGAGACGGGGGTAGTGCTAAGTTGCCCAGGTTGGCCTCAAAAACTAACTTTGAGACAAAACTCTATGGTGACCAAAGCAGATCAGTGGTTACAGGAGTAGGGCTGGTAAAGGAGCCCAGGGAATGTTCTGGGCCTCATTGTGCCGGTGGTTACTCGGCTGCCGTTTGTCGGACCTCATGGCACTTCACACTTGGAAGCGGTGAGTTTTATTGTGTGTGAATTGTGTCTGATGGGGCGGGGCTGGGGCTGGGGCTGGGGCTAGGTGGAGAGCGCTTGCCTCACAAGTGTGAGATCCTGCGTTCCAATCTCAGCACCACATAAAAATAAATCAGCAGTCACCCATAATCCCCACTGCATTGTTAATGACTTGGTAAATGACCTAGAGAAGTAATATGTGTACTCCATACTTACCTTTACAAAAATTTGGTATCATTGTACATACTATTTTCTAATCTGATTTGTGTGTGTGTGTGTGTGTGTGTGTATCAGGGATTGAACCCAGGGACTTAACCACTGAGCCACATCCTCAACCCTTTTTATTTTTATTTTTTTGAAACAGGGTCTCACTCAGGTGCTTAGGACCTCACTGCATGGCTGAGGCTGGCCTCCAACTTGCAATCCTCCTGCCTCAGGCTCCTAAGCTGCTGGAGTTACAGGTGTGCACCACTGTGCCCAGTTAATTTTCAAATCTATTTTGATATTATCATGTGAACATTTTCACTCTGCTATTATCCTGCAATGAAGTTTTATTTCCCACATGGTGGCCCACCTACAGATACCACCCGCCTGAGTGCCCCCCCTCCTACTCCCATGTGATGGCCTGTCATTTCCTGCTTCTCAGGCTCCTGCAGGGTGCCCTGTACATCCTACAGCACAAGTCAGCATTCCCTGTGTGGCCCCAAGTGGACCTGGTGTGAGGGCCCCAAGTGGACCTGGTGTGAGGGCCCCCAGCAGACCGTCTCCCTTCAGGAGAGGCAGAGCAGCCCCTGCCCCAGCACCTCCACCTGAAACTGAGCCCCCAGGCCAACCAGCCTGGGTGAGCTGACCAGGGGACCCACAGACGCACGATGAGTCCTGGAGGGTTTGCTCTGCAGCAAAAGCTGCCCCATGCAGTGAGGGAACAAGGCCTTCAGGCTTCGTGCAGAGAGCAACATTTGGGCTGGGAGTCAGGCCAGGCCGGGGAGGGCCAGGAAGCACTGAGGGTGCTGCACATCGTGAGCCTCAGTCAGACGTCGCTGCACACCCTCCATGGCTAAATCCCAACACCGACTACACCAAGTGCTGACGAGGATGCAGAGCAACAGAAACTCCCGTTCTTTGCTAGTGGGAATGCAAACTGGTGCAGCCACCTGGAAGATGGTTAGGGGGTCTTCACAGAGATGAATATTCTCCTACCATAAGAAGCAGCTCCTTAGTATTTACCAGAGATGAAAAGAAATGCATTATCAGACCACGAAAGGGCATGGAGGGGCTTCACAGTATATTGCTACGTAGGAGAAGCCAGTCTGTAGAGACCACATACTGTATGATTCCAACATTCTGGAAAAGAAAAAACTGGGGAGATGGCAAAGAAAGCAATGGCTTCAGCCAGGCACTGTGGGTGGAAGCCCAGTGACTCGGGAGGCTGAGGCAGGAGGATTGCGAGTTTGAGGCCAGCCTCTGCAAATTAGTGAGGCTCCGTCTCAAAATAAGTAAATAAATAAAGATGTCTGGGGATGTAGCTCAGCGGTAGAGCACCAGGAAGGAAGGAAGGAAGGAAGGGCATCCAGGAATGCAGGGAAAGAGAGGGAAGGATGAATAGGTGATACATAGGGGATTTCTAGGGCCATGAAATTATTACTATTCTTTACGTGCTTCATTTATTTTCAGAACTAGAGATTGAATCCAGAGGCATTTTACCCCTGAGCTACAGCCTCAGCTCTTTTCATTTACTGATTTCATTTTATTTTGAGGCAGGGTCTTGCTTAGTTGCTGAGGCTGGTCTCAAACTTGTGATCCTCCTGCCTCAGCCTCCTGAGAAGCTGGGATGACAGGCATGCACCACCCTGCCTGGTGCCCTGAGATTATTAAACCCCTAGGAACGGTTCTGTTGCATAAGCACATGCCCGTTTTTAATGGTTGGTGACTGGAGAGTTGACTCTCAGTTTACAGCTGGGCCTCTGGGCTTTTTAACACTCAGATGAAAACAGCGGCAGTCCCTAGGGTCAGGCCTTCGCAGGCCCCCACCCCACTCCCCACCCCTGCTTATGTCCCCCCAGCAGGGCTTCCTGTTGTTTGCCCCGACTTTGGCTGTGGCTCCTCATCTCAGCCACGGCCTCTCCTCTGGACTCCTCAGAGACATCACTTCCCACAGTCTGGTGACATCTCCAGGCCTCGGGGGCTGGCTGGGGGCTCCTGTGGGCTGGGCACCCTTCCTGAATCACAGAAACGTGGCCATGATCAGCTGAACAGAAGCTTCTCGAAGGTTTGGGGCAGATCTCAGCCTGGCCCTGGCCGAGGGAGGTCCTGCCTGGGATGGCACCAGCTGCCTCTCCGCTGTCTGGGGTCAGGCCCAGGCCATGACCCACAGTGGGAGTGCCACAGGCTGGCACCGCACCCAGGGCCCTGGCCGAGGCTGCTGCAGCTCCTGCTCCTGAAGGGTCCACAGTGGGAATACTGTTCCCCTAGGGAAGGTCCTGACTCCGCTAGAGGGCTGGTCACCTCCCCAGGCCCGGCCAGACCGCCACGCCAGTGACCGTACATCTTCCAAGCCAGGCGAGCTCTGCCAGCCTGTTCCGCTCAGGTCTTGTTGCTGCTGTTGTTTTGTCTTCCCTGTGAGCAGAAGACCTAGCAGAACAGTTAGAGGAGGAGAAGTTTATTTGGGATCATGGTTTCAGAGGTCTCAGTCCACAGATGGCTGTCTCCGCTGCTCTGGGCCCGAGGCGAGGCAGGACATCTTGGCTGAAGGGTGTGGTGGAGGGAAGCCACTCAGACCAGGGCACCAGGAAGCAGAGAGCTCCACTCCCCAGGGACGAAATATGCACCCCCAGTGACCCGCCCTCCAGCCACGTCCTACCTGTTCCACTCACTCAGTCTCTTCAAGTGGATCACGGGCTGCGTGGGCTAAGGCGCTCGGATCCCCAGTGTTTCACCCCTGAACTTTCTTGCTTTGACTCACACGTGAGTTTCGGGGGGACGCCTCATATATAAACTCTAACACCAGGGCGCCCCAGCAGGCCCAGGGCACCCTGCTGAACTTGGGCAGCCCCCCCACATCCTCCTGTGGAAGCGGTAGTTACAATGTGAGCGCACACACACACACACACACAATCACACACACACACACACACACACAATCACAAGATTTTCCTGCATATTGCTGTCAACGTTTTTTTATTCTTTAACACACCAGCTCACAGGATTGAATGGAAGACGTGACACTGAAGTCGGAAGTGCCTGGCTTTGGGCAGAGCTCTTCCCTCCAGCTGCCCGACAAGGCCTTTCAAGAACAAAAGGAGGGTCTTCCCAGAATAAATCCCCTCTCAGGCCCTTAATGCAAAAACTGCCCACCATCTTAAAAATGGCAGTTTACAGCTTGGCACCTCTAAGATGCCTTCTCCCGTGGCACCCCACCACGCGCTCATTCCACTTGCACTGATGTTTGAAAATTGGCAATTCAGAACGGTACTTTTTCGTCTGGGTACTTTGGCTGGGTGTGGTGGTGCACGCCTGTGATCCTAGTGGCTCAGGAGGCTGAGGTAGGAGGACCATAAGTTTAAGGCTAGCCTCAGCAATTTAGTGAGGCCCTAAGCAACTGGTGAGACCCTGTTTCAAACTAAAAAATAAAAAGGGGCTGAGGATGTGGCTCAGTGATAAGGGCCCCTGGCTTCAATCCCTAGAGGACACACACACACACACACACACACATATACAAAGGTACTTTGATTTGTTTTAATTTGCATTTCTCTGATTGCTAGAGAAATTGGACATTTTGGGGTACATAATATTGGCCCATGTGTATTTCTTCCTATGTGAGTTGCCTATTTCAATGACAGGCTTATGTTTTTGTTGCTAACATGTTGGGATTATTTCTCCCAGTTTTTCATTCTCATTTCATTTATGTTCTGACAGCTAAACATTTACATCTTTACATGGCCAAATAAAATATTTTCCTCTATGACCTCTGTCTTCTGTGTCATCCTGAGGAAAAGACTCCCCACCTTAAATTCATGTCAACATTCATTTATGAGGGCAACCTTGATTCTTGTTTGGGATTTCAATGCAATGGAAGGGATCCAATTTCATTGTTTCTAGATACAGAGCCAAATTCCTAGGAAACTTGCTTATTGAATAATCTCTTCTTCCCCTCACTGCTTTGAAATGCTACCTTTATCGCTTTAGTAGATCCTGTACACCTACACCGGTGTCTTTGTTCTTAAAATCCCTGCTTCCCAGGGTGTTATGAGATTAAAGAAGTAACCTCATCAGGCCTGAGCACGGGGGACATGGGATCTGCTCCAGGTGTGTGGTCTCCCCTCCCCTCCCTCCCTCCATATGCTATGCCATTGACCTTGGGGTGCGGCCACAGCTCCTCACCATTAGGCCCCAAGCCACTTTCTGGTCTTTATCACCTCCGTCAATGTGATCTGGCTCAGGAGCTGGGGTGGATTGGGGTGGGGTGGCCTGTCAGGGAGACTTCACAGGGAGATGGCCTTTAAGCTGGGTGTGGGAGGGGAGAGGAGTGGGCAGTGGAGCAGGGAGAAAGGGCCCTGCAGGCCAAGGAAACAGCATGACCCAAGTGGGGATGACATTGGGCAAGGACAGGAAGCCCAGGGGGAGGGGGGCAGCAGCTCACCCAGAAGGAGCTGCTTGTAGGGTGAGGGGCTTTGTCTTGTAAGGTGAGGGGCTCATGGAGTGGCAGCCACATGGTCATGTCTCCGTGACTTAGGAAGATCACCCTGGGTCAGATGGGAGGCAGGGAGGCCAGCCTTAGGAGGCTACTGAGACAGCCTAGATAAAGGGTCACGATGGCCGTGAGGGTGGAAGGAAAGGGACAGTTCACAGGAATATCCTAATGGTCAAAGCTGGCAGCAGCCGGCAGGGGAAGGAAGGGGGGGTGGGAAAACCGCAGGCTCCTGGCTCGGGCAGCAGGACAGATGGTGGGGGCGGGCACTCCAGGGACAGCAGGTTTAGGCCTGGCAGGGGAGGGCTGCGGGGGACAGAGGGTGTGGTGGGAGACGCTGAGAAGTTCAGAACGTGGAAACCGCGGCACGCAGTGTGTGCTCTCCAGGCTCCTGGAGGCCAGGGCCGAAGCAGGGCAGAGGGACGGCGGGAGTGGGCGGTTGGGAAAATATTTAGGAAGGTGAGTCAAGGAGATCTGGTGGGTGAGAGGAGAACTAGTCTAGGACCATACCTGGGGGTCACTGGGTGTGACACAGGGGAAAGAGGAAGCTTGATGGGCAGATCTGTTCATTAACCAATCTTCAATTAAGCAGCTGTGTGTGTCAGACTTTAGCACCTGATAGACCAACACCATCCCTGCCCTCGGGGACCTACATTCAGTGAGGACAGATGGACGATAAAAAAAAATCAATAAGCAGGGCTGGGGCTGGGGCTCAGTGGTAGAGCGCTTGCCTGGCAGGTGTGAGGCACAGGGTTCGATTCTCAGCATCGTATATAAATAAATTAAATACACTCCACTGATCGATATTTCTATCCTTATCCCAGTACCAGTCTTGCTTGCTGGAGCTTTATAATAAATTTTGAAACAGAAAAAAAAAATTAAATAAAGTCCATTGATAACTAAAGATACATTTTAAAATAGAGCAATTTTAAAAAATCAATCAGTAAATGTGTGTCAGGTGGTAACAGGTGCTATGTAGGAAAATAAAGAGGAACTGCCTTTAAAAAGGCATGGCCAAGGGTGGTCCCACTAAAAGGTGTCTTTGAGCACAGACCTGGGGAGAGGGGAAACATGCATTCCAGGCCAAGGGAACAGCAAGTGCAAAGGCCCTGAGACAGAAATGTGCTAGGAGCCAGTGGCTGGAACGAGGGAGAGAGAGGCCAGGCACGAGATGGGAGAAGTAGCGGGCAGATCCTGTGGGGCCTTGGAAATTTTGTGGGGGACAGGGGGGTTACTGGGGATTGAACTCAGAGCACTAGATAACTGAGCCACATCCCCACATCTATTTTGTATTTTATTTAGAGTCAGGGTCTCTCTGAGTTGCTTAGCACCTTACTTTTGCTGAGGCTGGCTTTGAACTTGACATCCTCCTGCCTCAGCCTCCTGAATCACTGGGATTATAGGTGTGTGCCACCATGCCTGGCTTTGATTTGTATTTTAAATGCTTAATGGTTAAAATTTCCTTGGTCTTTGGATCCCAATGCTGTCACTCTAGATGGATGAGTTTGGAGAACTCCATGCCTTCACCATCTGTAAAGTGGGGATAGTAACAGGACTCCCTTTGTATGGTTATTTGAAGATCAAATAAGATTAACAGAAAGAAAGGTCTCGCTCAGGACAGCCTCTGGTGAATTCTGATCACTACACATGGAAGCAGTTATCATACTAATGATAATCAACACGATGCTCTTGGTGAGGATACACTGGCTAAGGTCAGGGTGGAAACGGGCACCATTTGAGTGGCCCCTGCCGTGGGGCAGAGCGATGGAGTGGCCTGGACTAGGGGGACCACAGTGCACGCCAGGTGGTCAGCAGTGGAGCTGGCTGAATGTGCTGACGGGTCAGATGTAAAAAAAGGGAGGGGCGCTGAGCACTGCTTCAGGGATTCTGTCCTGAGCTGCCGCTTGACGACGGACGAGAGGCTGCAAGAGGAAGCCTGGGCGCCAGCGTGGAGCGTGTCAGCTGGGAGACGGGCCCTGAGTGTCTCAGGGTAAACGCAGCTGGAGTGGCCTGAGCTGGGCGAGGACACTGGACAGCAGCAGGGACACAGTGGACATGTGGTGCTGGGAGACCAGATGGGCTGGCAAGGAAGGGAGTGTGGAGGAGAGGAGGCCCCAGGATAGGCCTGGGGCCGCCAGGTGGACACCGAGGGCTCCCCCCAGCCGGGTTCAGCGAGGTGCATCGTGAAATGCCTGCACTTTTGAGGCGCCTTGTGCAGAGGGCTTTCTGTTTTGCCTGAAATCTCTCACACATCTGAAGTAGCATTTCTAGGACACATAATTGGGACAGGGCTTGGGAAGACACCAGAACACAGAGGAAGCACAGGGGACAGATGGGGAGCCAAAGCAGAAGCCTTTGCCACTCCAGAGACACGCAGCGCAGGGAGGATGTTCACATTAGAGACAGGCTTTCAGGGGGCGCGAGTGACCCAAAACGTGCAGAAGGATTGAAGGAAAGGCAGCGGGGGCTGGGAGCGCGGCTTCAAAGATGGACACACTGTGGTTCAAGCCAGGCTCTGCCCCACGGTGACTCTGGATGTGGCACTGTCCTTTTGTCCTAGCTTGTCTGTGAAACAGGAGCATCAGGGCGTCTCTATCACAAGTATCGGAAGCTGTGAACCAGATAACGCTTTATAAAGTGCTCCACGTAGCTCCAACCCACAGTCAAGTGCAGCTGCCTAAATTCACAGGGAGAGCAGGAAAAGCAAAAAGGATCCAAAATAGAACAAAGGGGAAATGCACAGGGCTGGAATCAGTGCTGGGAGCGGGGCTGGATTCTCGGGCGTGACTCTGACAGACCGGCCCTGCTCTCAGAATAATGTGCTGCCAAATCCCTGTGCTGTCTTGGAACGCTCCATAATTTCATCCTTGAACTTGTGTTTTGCAAGCAAATCCAGTGCAAAGGAAGTACATGCGGGAGCAGAGAGGACATACCAGGTGGCATCGAGCAGGTTGAGGCCAGTGAGAATGACTGGCAATGAGTAGCACAGGTGCCTAGTAGTTGCCCTGGCCACCTGGCATGCACCCACATGGCTGGGCAGCCTGGGACACTGTGGGGCTGCAAGGGGACAGCAGGGGCCAGAATCTGTGCCCAGACTGGCAGCAACAGAAGAAACAATGGTGGTGGCACTTCCAAGCCAACCACGCCAAGGCAAGAGAAGGGGTCCACCTGGAAAGGCACTCCCAGCTCTCGGCCCAAGCACTGGCCAGGTGCCACCCGCCCACCACTGGCCCGCCACCTGCACCAGGGTGGTAAACTTTGTCATGATATGTGAGTTATTAAAATATAACATGTGAATTATTAAATTGTTAGAAAATAAAAGCATCCACCTGGATGTTGCAATAAAACATAACAGAGAATTTTCCAAAGAGTTTAGAATCTCTGGTTTTGAAAACTGCTGCAACATTGCAAAGCAAAAATCCTCAGGCTTACACATGGAAATTTAAGTAGAACGGTCATCACATTCTATAGAAAATAATTGTATGTTCAGGTGAAGTTTCACTGTTATTGAGGAAGACAATTTTAAGATTAATTTTTTTTTGTAATAGAAGAAAAAGCAGGTGACTCACATAAACAGGTTATTAAAATAATATACATGGGCTGGGGATGTGGCTCAAGTGGTAGCCCGCTCGCCTAGCATATGTGAGGCACTGGGTTCGATCCTCAGCACCACATTAAAATAATAAAAATAAAGACATTATGTCCACCTAAAACTAAAAAATAAATATTTAAAAAATAATAACAGGGCTGGGGTTGTGGCTCAGCGGTAGAGTGCTCACCTAGCACATGTGAGGCCCTGGGTTCAATCCTCAGAACCACATAAAAATAAATAAATAAATAAAGATATTGTGTCCATCTAAAAAAAAAAAAAGCAATAAATATATTTTAAAATAAATAAATAAACAAATAATAACAATATGCAAATCACACTTGGCGAGGTAGTGCACACCTGCAATCCCAGCAACTCAGGAGGCTGAGGCAGGATTGCAAGTTCGAGGCCAGCCTCTGGCTACTTAGTAAAAAGGGCCAGAGATACAGCTCAGTGGCAGAGTGCCCCTGGGTTCAAACCCCAGTTCCACTAGCAAATAAATAAATAAATAAAAATTAATTAAAACATCACAGCATGAACAACTGTTCTGGTCACCTGGGAAGGCTGGCACATTCGCCTGGAGCTCCAACTTTTCCAATTTGTCTTCCCATCATCCCCTTTAGAGAGCTCTCAAAGTGAAACTCCTGCTTCTGAATTACCCTGGGGCGGGGCGGGGCACATCCGGGTCCCTGGCAGGTAATACCTGTGACAAGTGCTTTGGTGTCTGAAGACTGCCGCTCCTACTTGAATGAGGGCGGGGAGCAGTTGCACGTGGGGGGTGGCGTGACCACTAAGCAATACCGCCTCCGCGTCCCAGTTAATCTTCTTGACTGAGATGGGCAGCTAACCCGGGGTCCAGCAGGGTGGGTGGCCTGGCCAGCCCACGGCAGCACTGGGTAGGGCTCAGCGCCGCGGGCCCCAGGGCTCGTTCCCTGCGGCAGGCTGCAGCCTCCCGGCCGCGTCTTCCAGGCGGTGGGGCTCCAGGCCCAGAAGTCCCTTCAAGGCAAGGGCTTAGCGCCTGGGGAACCGGAAGTGCGAACCCCCCCAGGCCCTTGGCCCCTCCCACTTCTGCTTAGCCAATCCTTGTGCCCCATCGTGGAGGAAGGCGACCTGATTGGCTTAGCCATCACCAGGTGTGGGCGTGGTCACACCATGACTGACAGTGGGCCGACTTACCTGCTCCTCCACCCCAACCCGAGCTCCCGCGCCTGCTCTGATCAGCTGGGACCTCTTTCGTCCTTCTGATGGCTCCTCGAAATTCATCTTGACCTCTTCCGCTCTTTCATCATCAAGGTGATCCTTCTGTCTGCACAATGGTTGGCATCTTTCAATGGTCATTCGGCCCACAACACACCAGTTTGGCCACCACCCTTAGTGGCTTTCCATGTCACTGGGCCCCCATCTAGACCCCCAGAGAATGAACCCCTAGAGAATGAACAAGCCCCATTCCTGAGACCTCGAGTGGTGGGTCCCCTTCAGCCTGTCCCTCTTCATTCTCCTCTTTCCGTGCCTGCCACTCTCAAGCTCCTCCCCAGCCAGCCCCCTTGCTGCCAAACCCCTGTTCATCCTAGAGAACTCGGGGTGTCACTTGCTCAGAGGGCTGCCTCTGAGCTCCTGGTTTCACCCGCATCTTCTGGCCTTCTTGCCAACCCCGCCCCAGCACAGCTCACAGTTTATACTTGCGGTTGTCTAACCCAGACTTCCTCTACTTGGTGACCATCTCTGGAAGGGTGGGGACTTATCTGCTGTGGAACTCCGAGGCCCGGCACAGTGTCTGGTACTTTCTAGGCTAACTCAGTGGCCAATTCAGGGCCACTAACTTTAAAAACAGAGTCCCAGACCTTGCATACTGAAGAGATGGAAATGGTCTGGAATGAGGCCTTGGCCTCATCCTGGTTACCTGTGGGGTTGGAGGAGAGACCAGGACAGGGAAGTGGGGGGCAGGGGTGTGCATTTGTGCACATCAGGGGGAGACTGGCTTCAGTTGCAGTGATTTTACAATTTTACTTTTTAAAAAGGAGAATATATTTGGAGCTTCATGTAATTAATAGCTTCCTGTGTAATTAAAAATTAACCGAACAATAATAAATAAATAAGACATGGCCAGGCACTGTGATGCACGCCTGTAACCCCAGTTACTTGAGAAGCTGAGGGAAGAGGATTGCAAGTTTGAGGTCTGCCTGGGCAACTTAGCAAGCACCTGTCTCAAAATAAAGAGGAAAATGGGCAGGGGATGTAGCTCAGTGGTAGAGCACCCTGGGTCCAGTCCCCAGTCCTGCAAAACAAATAAGACATGGCCCAGGTCAGGGGAGACAGAGGCGATGGCAACGCCAAGCCACAAAGAAACACTGACAACTTGTGATCCGCTGGTGGGTTCTGAGTCTTCACTTTATTACTATGTCACCAGAAGTCACCACCTTCACTTGGTTCACCACAAATGGACAGATGTCATAAAGGAGGGTGCCACAGGGCCACTGGATTCACTCTTGAGAGACTTGACCAGGTAGTGGTGGGGGTCTAGATGGGGGCCCAGGATGGGGACCACCCTTCACCACACGTGCGCGTGCACGCACACACACACATAGATATATTTGTGGAGCCTTATATTATACATCTTATATATAGAAAATATATATATTTATACTATACACAGGCAGTACCGCTGCGGGAAGGGCCAGGGCACCCAGACAAGGGCTGTGGGCACCAGGGGCTGGGAGTGTCAGGTCAGGGGCAGCGCTGGGAGGTGGCTGGACCAATCCATCCTCCATAAACTCTGGGCGTCAATCCCCCTTCATGCTCCTTAGAGAATCAAAGGAGCCTTGGGCCAAGGGTAGCAGCCCCCAGGGGTAACAAATGGGAGCTCTTGGTACATAGGAAGAGTCTGGGGCCCTCAAGAGTCTTTGAGATCGAGATTCACCAGGGAAGGAGGGAGAGGGGAAGCCGATGCAGGCCCCTGGGAATTAGCCCCTCCATTATCACACCTCCAGGTGGATGAGGAGCCACCCAGGCCTGACGGCCCATTGCACAGGATCATGTCAACTCAGGAGGCAGAAGAGAGGGCTCCCCACCTCTTGTTCTGTGCTTGACCTTGGACAGATTACTGCCTTCCTGTCCAGACTGGAGCCTTTCTAAGGGTCCTTGCAGCTCCACACTGTGGAACCCATTTCCAGGGCCTCTTGTGCTTGATGGGGAAGGGGGAGTCCAAACCCTGCAGGGTTGGGCTGAGGGCGAGGTGTGGGGCACTTCTCCAAGGAAAATTTGGGAAAAAAAAGGAAAGCAAAGGGCATTGGAGGAGCCAGAGGGGATTCGAGATGCCGGGGCCTCGGGCTCAGGGCCCCAAGGGGCTGTGTGCAGACAGCAGAAGGGGGATGAGGCCTCCAGCAGCACTCAGGGGTGTGTCCCGTCCAAATCCTACCCTCGAACATCTGTCACCCTGTCTCATTTTCACAGAGAACCCAGCTGCTGTCCAGCTGTCTCAGGCCTTCTGCCCCCACTGCCCTTGGGGGGCCTGGACAGACCCAGTTCTGATCCACGCCCACTGCTAGCTTGCCTGTGCTCACGGAACCTCAGCGTCCCTTCTGTTCAGGGGGACAGTGCCGCTCCTTCCCCGCTCCTGGCCCACCTCAGGACCCTTGCTCAGGGGAGCCTTGGGCTCACGGGGGTTTGCCCCACGCCTCCCGCCCTCAATGGCTCTGTGTACCTTTTCTGGCTGGTGCTTGTCTTCCCAATGGACCATAAGCTCTGAGGGCAGGGAGCAGGGACCATGCACACCCTCTGTGTCCCCAGCACAGGAACCTGACAACTGGCTGCTGAGAGTGAGCAAGGCAAGGGGTGAAGGGGTCAGGGGGCGAGGGCTCTCTCTCCCCATCCCTGTGGCCAACCCACAATCCCCTCTGCTCTGCTGCCTGAGGTACTGGCTCGTATGCACCGGGCAGAGAGGTGCAGGAGGACGGACGGCACAGACACGCAGCCTCCCTGTCACTTGCAGCTCAGGGTGGAGGAACCTTATGCAAGAGCCTTCCCTGCCCAGCTCAGAAGGGCCCGCTATGCCCGCAGGCCCCACCCATGCCTGTGTCTCAGGGGTCGCCAATGCCCTACCCACTGCAGCCCAGTCACCCTGAGCCACTCTGCACCAGCCGCCCTCCCTGGGTCCCCTTGGGGGCTTTGCACTGCCTCCCACAGCAGGCCTCTGGAAGGCCAGGGAAAGATGCCTCATGTCCAGGGTTGCTCCAGCCGGAATCCCTGGCTGACCCCAGCGAGAGGAGGATGAGTGTCCCAGATCAGGCAGGGTATCAGGCACCTGCTGGGTGACTGGGGTCAAGAAACCCAGGCAGCAAACCCAGCTCAGCTCCACCGGCTCATTGGGACCTTGGGCCAGCCCTGCCCCCCACCTGGCCTTCTTACCCACCAGCCCTGGGCATGGACCTGGGGAGCCAGTCGTTTGGGAGACCACAGAGGGAGTTGCTAGAGCTCCCTGCAGGACATAGAGCAGGAAGCACGGGGTCATGGGCAAGCAGGGTGAGCACCCCGGGAGAAGGAGAAGGCCAAGGGTGGGCACCCACAGGAGCAGGCCCCTGGCTTGCAGCAGGATTGTGGTGTCTTGGGGCTGAGGCGCCCATGGCCCCAGGACGAGGACACCACGGAGCCAGGCTCGTGATGCGGGGGGCGGGCAGGGCAGGAAGAGCGGGCAGGCACCATCCTCGGGGCTTCCTGCCCAGCCCTGCCTTCACTGCCAGCCTCCTGAGCCACCTGGGCAAGCAACCTTGACCTTCCCAGGCCTCGGCTTCCTCAACCTGCCAGTCCTAGCAGGTCGGGTGTGTTGACAGGTTCTGGGGGTGACAGCCTGAGCCCCGTGCCACCAGACCTCTGGGCATCACCCCAGCCCTGCCTTGGTGCTAACAGGGTTCCCTCCACATCTCACCCAGCCCTTGACAGGGATCACCTCTGCCTCTTTCCCATGTGTGCTGAGCACAGGCCTGGCACACAGCAGGCGCTCAACAAGCACTTGAGGACACAATGAATGAATGCACCTCACCCCTGTCCCCCAGTCCCTGCTGGGCACATGCCCTGGACACACTTGCAGACTCAGGCAGAGAGAACCCAACACCTGGCTGCTCCCACCCCTCCAGAGCTCCCGGGACCTCAGTGGAACACCTTGAGGCTGTGGGGTGCTGGGCAGGGCAGCCTGGGAGGGGAGGGTGTGGGGCGGAGAGCAGGGCAGAGGGCGGGGGCAGGGCACGCGAGGATGGGGCAGGCGGTCACTGCGGCTCAGTAGCCCTGCGACTGGTAGCCCTGGGGCTCAGTGTCAAAGGCGTTGGCCGGCTGCTGGTAGGTGCCACCCATGCCGGCGGGGTCCGGCCCGGTGCTGGGCTCCACGTAGGGGGCGTAAGGCATGCTGGAGTCCTGGCTGGGGTCCATGTAGTCCTGGGAGAAGAGGGCCGAGTCGGCGCCAATCTGGTACCGCTGGAAGGCCAGCACAGCCTGGCCCGCCTGGGGGCGGGGGCCAGCAGGGACAAGGACAGGTGGGAGGGGTGGTTAGGGGAGAGACAGACAAGAGCCGGGGTTAGTGGAAGTTAGTTCACAGGACACAGGCAGTAGAAGGTCTCAGGCCCTCAAAGCACTGAAGTGAAAGTAAGTCCAACTGGGGGCAGGAGGGCCGTCCTGGCGGCCACCCTGCCTGAGGCCCAGAGGTCACTCTAGGCCACCAAGAAGTCCTGACCTCTACTGTGGAGGGTTAAGATGGCCCCAAAGCCCACAGCCTCCTCCTCGAACTGTGACCTCAGGGCTGCTCTGTGGAATGGGGCAAAAAGTTTCTTAATAGGTCAGAGAAATCTTGGCACCTCCTAAAAGCCATCCTCTGTCTTGCAGCTAGGCATAGACACCTGACTAAGTTTTAGCCACTATGGTGCCCCCATGTTCTCTGTCCCACTCTCTGCTCTGATACCTGGAACACAGATGTGATTGCTGGAGCTTGAGTTGCCAAAATGGACCACAAAGTCCATAAGCTACATTGTAGGAGGGAAGATGGCTGGGTCACTGAAGACCTCAGAGCCACTGCGCCAGTCCTGGGCCCCTCCATACACCTAGACTTCTTTGAAACCGCGGTTATTTGAGATTTCCATCACTTGCTGCTCACTCTAATTCTTGCTGAAACACATGGTCAGAGAAGT